GAGTACTAAGTGCTCATGTTTATCTGATCAAAATTTTGAAAATCAATTGTTGTTAAAAATAAATAAAAAATTGTTCTGTTATCTTATAATATATTATTTTTGTATAATTTTATTCATATTATAATTATATATGAAAATTTTATTATAAAAAGATCTTATCTTATATGTTCTTTTTGTATAATTTTATTTTATTATATATAGTCGGAAAAAAATAATAATTTTTTATTTTTTTGCATTATATATAATATTTAATTTTTTAAGTAACGAGTAGCCCGTTACTTTTTTGAAAAGTCGGTAACGCGCGTTCCTTTTGTAAAATGGTAACGAGTAACGGTAACGCGTTCCATTTTTCAGATGTAACGAGTAACGGTAACGCGTTTCTTTTTTGTAGTAACGTTTACAACACTACAAGGCAATATTCTTTTTTATTGTAAAAAAATCATGCATGAATTTTAAAAAAAGGTTTGACATGTCTAGCCATAAAAACATTTATTATTTAGTTAAGAAATTTGATTTTTTTATAGAAGTTTAATATAATATTATTCGACACATTCGTCGAATTAAGAATAATGAATGTCATAATTTTGAAAATCGAATACAAAATAAAATTATTAACCTTCCTTTTTCTTTCGACTCAGTGATGGCAAAGATCATATGAATAAATTTGTGTTAAACCCGTTCTGAAACGCGATGGGTGTGTAAGGTGGAGAGTGTAAAGGCCATTAGAATTGGTGATATTTACGATGCACTAATAGATGTATCCGAAAATATCTATGACCCAAAATGTTGCACATGAGCCATTTCATCGGCTAAAGAATTAAAAGAATCATTTTTGGTAACTTGACATCTTGCTTGAGATATTAACACAGGTGAATTTAGTAAGTGAGGTGATGCAAAGTGACAATATTAAACTGGAAAGAGCCATTACAAGAACGATAGATATTTTAGATCGCTTTAAGGAAAAAGGCTTTTAGAATTCCCTTGACTCAGCAAAAGAGCTTGCACGGAATTGGAAATGTAGATAGAAGAGCAGTAATTTCCTTCAATCAATAATTCGTAGATAGAGAGATCAAAAACAATTTTCTTACTAAGGAGATGACATGCCTATACAGGATCCCCAAAAAGAATATGAGGTTGAATTTATCAATGCATTAATATCAAGCGAGAAATTAGTTGGGGAACGTTTTCAGCAGTTAAGGCAAAGATCATTTCGGTTTCTAATTTAATATTCCAGTTTTGATAAATCGCTTGTGTTGTCATTTAAATGTTTTATTCACAGATATTAATATGCAAGGATCTACTAATTGAATTAAAATAATAATATTATGCAAGCACCTCATAAAAAATTTTATTAGAAATTTTAGGCTATATTAACACTAAAAATTTTAAAATGAATAATTCCCGAATTTTAATTATGTCTCCAAACTCGATTTCTTAAATTTACAATATTAAATTAATTTAAAAAAATAAAATTCTTACTTACTCCACTAGTTTAAATGAAACCTTTCAAAATATATCCATTGTATTAATTACTTAAACCATTCTAACTACCGTGGCATCTGTAGAACGCGACCTCTCTCAAATTAATTAAGATTTACCTACGATTCTGTATGGCACAGGATCGACTTGTTAATGTCTTTTTAATTTCAATGGAAAATGATATTGACACATAGTTAGATTATACTGACATAATATCCTCTTTTGCATATATGTCAAAGACATTAAATAAAATTGGTCTATGATTATATTCATTTTTATAATATGCATAGATGCTTTTAGTTCTCATGCGAAAAATTATCAAAAAGCTTAGGTAAATTGTTTTTTGTAAGGGGCGGCCAAAAAAGTCTCGGCATGCCGCTGACTAAATGAATAGTTTAGTACAGGTTAGTATTAATATCATTGGTTTAATCAATAAATGTCAGAGCAGGAATCTCGAGCCATAATCTCGAAAAAAATGGCGACAAATATTTAATGTTTGATTAAAAATTATAGTGAAGGGGGGGGTCTGTTTAATTTCCATATTATTCACTTAATAAAATATTAAAAATCAGGGGCTTAACTAAACTTTTAAACTTCTCTTCTCTTCTCTTCTCTTCTCTTCTCTTCTCTTCTCTTCTCTTCTCTTCTCTTCTCTTCTCTTCTCTTCTCTTCTCTTCTCTTCTCTTCTCTTCTCTTCTCTTCTCTTCTCTTCTCTTCTCTTCTCTTCTCTTCTCTTCTCTTCTCTTCTCTTCTCTTCTCTTCTCTTCTCTTCTCTTCTCTTCTCTTCTCTTCTCTTCTCTTCTCTTCTCTTCTCTTCTCTTCTCTTCTCTTCTCTTCTCTTCTCTTCTCTTCTCTTCTCTTCTCTTCTCTACTCTCCGAAATATATATTAATATTTCATTTCTTAATTAAAATATATTTTGATTTTTTAAATATCTAAAATATTATAAATATAAAATAACTTTATAAATGCATAAAATAAATCAATCTTCATATTTTTTTTCTAACTCCTAAATATCGAGTCATTTAATTATAGCACTTTAAAAATAGCTGCATTTATTTGTGAAGTAAAAATGATTAGATTTAAGATTTCGAATAAATTAGAATAATATTAATTATTAGACATAATACTATTTTTTAGATTGCCAAAATTTATATTTTTTAAATAATAATATTAATAGCAAGACACTAAAAAAAAAATTAAATAATTTACGATTTTTTCATAACTCCATATTTTATAATTGGAAACAATTAAAATGTAAAAGCTATAAAATGTTTATCTGTACAGCCGTTATCGCAGAGACGGAGATTCAGAGATTTTTTGGAGGGCAAACACGATAAAAGCTATCGACGCGTGGTTTAATTTATATTAAATTTTTTTACAAAGTTTATGGTTATGTTATTTGGATGGGATTAATGTAGAGAGTTTTATGTCCAAATTTTTTTGCTTTTTTGGTGTGTAATGAAGAATGGCATTATAGTTAATTTATTTTCCTATCATTATTATTTTTCAATTTGTTGCTGTCTATCATTTAGTCTGGCGATGGGATTTACTAATAGTTCGATTTAATAGATCTGACAAAAGTTGACCTTGAAATTCACTTTTAAAGTTCTTTCTCAGTGTTTGCGGATAAAACAGACAATGTTTGATTTTTTTTTCCATATCATCACATTTGGATCGAGAAAAAAAAATTAGGTGGAGTCTCTCTAAGAATAACCATTGCAAGTTCTTATATAAAATAGGGGAAGGCTCTTATACCCGATTTAATGATTCACATATAAAGAAAGGTTTGGCAAATTTTAAGTTTTTTTTCGTGTTTTCATGCCTTAAATTTTTATATGAATCATTAGAATGAAAAAAGGAATGAATAAATTCTGAATAGTTTAGCAATAGTGAATATGTTATTATCATAATAATTTTAAATAGCTGGATTCGATATTTTATCTAAAGCCAAAACACTGATATATAACTGTCATAAATCATAGCATAAAATTTATTTTTTAAAGTTTTGTGCAAAAATACCGAAAACCATAAAATATCAAAAAAAAATGAAAAATATTATTAATATTTAAATTAATATTTACTATATTATAAGGATAAAAAAAATTGCGATCCGTTTCTACTTTGACTTTTTAAAATATAAATATCCGGTATGGTCGAAAATTAAGGAACTAAACCCGTAAAAGTACTGATCTCATTGACTACTAACCATTCTAGATCTGCAAGAGACCTAGAAATTTTTTTCGAACCCGACCCGGACATAAAATAAATTCCATATTTTTAAGATTTTTTATTTTTACCTTAATTAGTATTATAATTGATATAAGAAGAAGTAATGGTAAAATTTTTAAAATAAACGGTGTTGTTTTAACGGCTCAATTTTTTGAAAATGACCAACCCAATATATAATCCAAAAAGAAAATGATATGCAAGCCCGAGATTTCGTTAATAAATGCCCAACCCTTTCTGTGATCTATGAACAAAATATCCAGACTAGCCATAATATTTTTGGCTAAAATATTCGGATAGCCGTTTTTAAAAAATCGAACAAAACCATTATTTAATTGATGCAACCGAATAAAAATGTAATTGTAAATATAATAAATTTTTTAACCCTAACTAAACTCGAACCTATTTGAAATAAAAAAAACCTATCGAATCTTCCCGAAATATGAGTCGGGACAAGGTATTGCGGATTTCCACTACTAAATCTTGGGGCTTAAGGCAAGATGTATTTTCATCAATTTAGAAAAAACAACAACAGTTGAAATAAAAATTTGCTCTCTTTTAGATCCAAATTGCAATTATTAATTAGAAATGTCATTTTTTTAAAAAAAATTATCTTTCAAGAGCTAATTTCATAATATTTCAAATCAGATTGCAATCAAGATGCTTTTACATACATTATTATTTATTTTTTAAAACAATTTAAAGGTATAATATTTTGTTTTTTTTTTCATAATAATTCTTAAAATAAGAATATATATACTTTTTTTAAACCTTATTTACAATAATATTTTTTTTGATATAAAGGGGGAAAATAATTGGTAATAATTAATAGAAGATCTGCAAAGCGGGCCGTGCTTGGGCTCGGGCTTAATTCAATTTAAACTGATTGGGTTCGAGCCGGGCCGGGCCTAATATTTTTAAAAAAATTTGGGCCGGGTCGGGTCGGACTTTGGAATTTTTTTAAATTATATCTAAATTTATCAATTTTATATTGAATTTTTTATGTAAAATAAAAATATTTGATTTTATTTATTGAAATTAAACGACATATAACATATGTCTTTTATTTTGAGTAATTATAAAAGTTAATTTCTATACGGGCCGGGCCAGGTCGGTAAATTTTTTTAAAAAAAACTTTCGAGTTCGGGTTGGGCCGGTAAATCTTTTTTAGAAAAAATTTCGGGCCGGGCCGGGCCGGGCTTGAAAAATTAGGCCCGATGCAGATAACTAATAATTATATTTATATTTGATAAAAAAAAAATTGTGATAGAAACAAAAAGAAAGTTTTTTTACACATATTTTTTCCGAATATCCATATCTCCTGAGAATACAAATCGACCAGAGCCGTTGGCATGCAGGTGAGCATGATGAGAAGATCGGCAAGGCTCAGATTAACAAGGTATATGTTGGTAAAATTTCTCATCGATTTATCTTTAAATACTATGAATATTACCAGGGAGTTACCTATAATTCCAACCAACATCAAAATACTGTATATGGGGGTAAATATGCTTTGGCTCAAGAACAAATAGGCTAACTGTCGATCTTCCCGAGCTTTCGCGTCTTCTATGTCCGAATTTGTCAATGGCACGGTCGCTGGATTAGGTATTGGATTTGACTTTTCGGTGTAAGTTAGGGAATAAATACGAGAAGAGACCACGGGGGACGCGTTTATGCGGCCATTGGTATAATTGTAATGGTTAAAGGAATCGATTAAAATGTCCGTCATGGTAAGGGCGGAATTGATGGATGCTAAAATGAGTAGCACCGCGATAGTAAACTCGCGTTTTAAACGCAACATATAACAGTCAAAATATTTTGATGACCATTTCCATAAATATCACACATCTCAGTAGAAACATTTTTTTTAAAAAATTTTTTTTTGAAAATTTTGGAAAACCTTATTATGAACGGTCTTCCGTCAATAAATATTTTATAAATTATTTGTGAATATATTTTAACGATTTAACTATAAAAAAAAAATTTGAAAGTTATTTTTCGACAAATTTTTTCCACCGAACCATTAAAAACATTTATTTTTTATTTTTTTAAAATTTTTATGTCATAATATTCAAAAAAAAATTTTTTTTATATATATATTCACGATTTTAGATATATTATCAAAGAAAAAAAAATATTCATAAAATAATATAAGAATATATATTTTTTTTCCAAACCCACTTTCTCAATTAAAATAAAATTTAAATCAATATCTCTTTCGAAAAAAAAAATATGACATAAAAATTGTTGTTAATATAAAATATTAAAATATATATAATAAAACCATCATTATCAAGAAGATCTCTATTTTTATTCTTTAAAAATATTAATTAATAATTTCAATATTTTTGAAAATTTATATTAAAAAAGAGTTCCTTGTTTTTCCTCTCAATTTTATAATATATATATTTTTAATATTAAACTTAACCAAAAAAAAAATTTTATTTTAAATTATCTTGTTAATATTAATTCTATTTTAACTATAAAGCGGAATATCAAAGGAACGGAGAAAGAAGAAAAAAAAGACATATTAAAATTTTTCGGATCATCTTTTCTATTAAATTTTACACAAAGAAAAGGAAATAAATATAATTTCTTTTTATTTTTTTTTACCACCAAATTGTAACTAAAGAGGGAAATAAAAGTGATTATATTAAATAAATAATATAATTTAAATTTTCTATTTTTTCATAAATTTTAATATAAAAATTTTAATAACATTTTTATTTTTTTTTAGAAAAAAAAAATACATTCCAAGCCAGTATGTAAATATAGAGTATTTATAATTAAAAAAATATATAATTTATAACTACTACAAATAATTAATAAAAAAAATATTGATTTTGTTCAAAAAATATTTAAAAATAAAATTAAAATTGTATTCAAAGATTTAAGAAAGAGAGGGAGGGAGGGGGGATTTAGATATTTTCGGAAATTGTTTAGTGGAATAATATCCATTTTTTGAAGAATTTTAATTGTTAATTTAATTTATTTTTGTAAAGCAATCATTTTTCAAATTTCTAAAATATCAATCGACCAATCTTAACATTTTAGAACTTATAAAATGTGAAATAATACTTAATGTGGTATATGTTAGTGGCAATATGTTTTTTCCGGCGATATCTTATTTTTTCAACTTTAAAGGAAAAAGTATTCCAACATGTTTAGAAAACCTATCTTATAAATTGTAGGCAATTTTGCCTTAAACCTTTAAGTCTTTTATAATTTATATAAAAAAATTTATGGGAAAATTAATATGAATTATATTAAATTCGAGAGTTCATAACAAAATTGTCTGAAACTCATAAGGTAGGTATTCCAAATATAGTGGAATACAATTTCCGGTAAAATCAGATCTATAAATTTTTTTTAAAATAACGCGCTCAAAAAATGATTCAAAGTTGGCAAAGTACATATATACTCTTTTGTAAATATTAAAGCAAGGGTCCATAAAGAAGGTTCGATGAAGAGATGAATAAAAAATTATTGTTAATTCAATAAAATCAAATTAATAAAGAATGTCACACAGGAGTATTATAAAATGTCACAAAGGAGTATTATTTCAATAAATAGATTGGGAAAGAGTCTAATCTATTTTATCAAGTTTTCCCTGTTTTTAAAGTGTGCGGGCTGAAAGGAAAAAAATTTTCAATTCCACAACTGATACAGAATAAAGTTGCTAAGTTTTTTTTTAAAAAAAGAAGATATATTAGGAAACTTAAAGAAAACTACTATAAGCCGAATATTCCCGAAAATCTTTTTTCTTCTTGCTTAGCTTTGATATGAAGTCCAGGTTCTTGCATAAAAAAAATCAAGACTACATCGTAAGAGGAAAACTCTGAAATCTATTTTGTCGTTGAGACCCCCAGTCGTGATTAGTGAATAATTTCTAGTTTAGGTTAGAGCTGTAACACCGAATTCATTTGGAAAAAGTAGAAATTTTATCATGTTTTAATGTCGTTGGGTAGGGCAGTTTGTCTTTGGAAATTTATTTTGAACTAGGTTAAATTAAATATAGAAGAACTACTTGTCGTAATAAATGAGATTTTAAAATTTTAGTTCTAAGAATACAATTTTTTTTCTTCTTAAAAATATTAAGTCAAATAGTTATCCTTTTTTTCCAGTACCTAATAAATGATGACCTTTTATCTAGTAAAACATTTTATGTATATATGTATAATATTTTTTTTTCTCCAGATTTATTATTATGCAATTAAATGTAATAATGTGTATGATTATAATAAATTCGGTTTTAATAAAAGGGGATATATATATACTAAATTATTTATCATATATTTTTTCTCGCTAGCATTTCGTGTTCGTGATATAAGTATAATAGCGGCCTTCAATGTAATTTAGAAAAAAAAAAGTTTACTAATTTAAAGAAAAGAATTTTTTTTCTATATGAGATCCGCTTTTGATAAGAATGCATAATCAATTTAATAATAGATAGGAACCATCATATTTCGGCCAATTGTTTCTACTTCTTGACTTTCATTTCGATCTACCGATTAATATGTCAAATTATTTTGTCAGAGGTTTTAACAACTGTCAATAAAAGAGGATGTATAAAAAATTTAATATAAAGTAACAAAAAAAATTAAAAATATGTTTTTATGTCATTAATTTCTTATTACCATTAAATGAAACCCACTACAGTATAATCAGTAACAATCACTTCCAGAAACAGACACCCACATTGCACTAGAGAGGATAATCTGATTTTTTTTCGCAGATAGAGGGGGCTTTAGAGGGCCTCAAATTATGAGGAGAGGATAGATATCTCATCTCTTTAAGGGTTACTATCATTGGCCACTATTTATTTACTATTTATATTATAACTTGTTATAAATATTAAATAATTTTTCCAAATTATCGAAATGTCATTTTTTATTTTATAATTTCTAAAAATAACATGTTAATTGGAAACATATGAATTAGATTGCTGACACTGATAAATTATTAATAAATAAATAAATAATTGATATACAAGTATATTCGATAATTTAGGTGACCCTGATTAGAATTCATAATATTAATATAACTAAAAATTATGGTATAAATATTAAAACAACTATATAAAAATATGTATAAATATATAAAATTACTAAATAAAAATATATATTAATAGTATCGAAGGCTCTAAAAAGAGCTTAATTTAATAATTAAAATGTACCTAAAAAACAAGTATAATTGTGTTCAAAAATTTCCAATTGAAGTTTTTAAGAAATAAGGATTCGCGATATTGATCTAATAATAATATACTTCATCAGCATTTCCAATATCATTTCTCCTCATTTAACAGATTTAAAATGATACACTTTACAATATTTGGAAATAATATTCTTTTACCTCGTTGTAAAATTTTCTATTAAAAATAAATAAATGTATCTTATTCCCGTAAAAATTGAAAAAAAGAAAGAAATGAACGCAGAAAGGAGATAATGAAAAATATAATCTACCAATCTTTTGGCTAGAAAGATATCATTATAACCTTAATTGTCAATAATTTGTCCTTTTTTTTCTTTCTTATTTTTTTATTTATATGATAATACAATATTATTTGATCAAATTTATATGTCATTTTCATTATAATGATAATGATGATAATGATTATATTTTAATAATACCAATTCATGATATAAAGAAAAATAAAGAATATAAAACTAATAGAATTATATAAAAACAAGATGGGAGTATTTGCAAAACAATGGTAGGCCGCCTTAATTCTGAAATCCGTTTAAGAATTCGAAAATGAGATAGGAGGTAGCCAGGCAACTATAGCTAATATGATTCTAAACACCTATCTATTAAACTGAATTCAGTTATTACTTAATAATCAACATAGACTATACTCCAATATTGTATTTATTTGATAAGCATTTCAATAGTATTTGGGCAGCACGGGCTGAGCACGAGCTCCTGGGCCATCAAGAGTATTTTAGATGGGTCACCAAATTTAGGTGTGCAGCGATTTTGTTTTTTTTAAAACTAAATTTGTTGATTTTATTTTCCTATAAATCTGGCCCCTTTCTTTTGTCTAATTTTGAATCTATATTTTTTCTTTTTCTTGGGGCTTCGGTAAATTGAATTTTTTTTTTGAGGGCTTCCAACTTTATTTTTGCCTCAGATCTTCGAAAGTCGTAGCACAGCCCTGAGTGGAAAGGTAAACCTACACAAGGAATAAAGAGGTGATAATCACTACTAAGAGATAGTGACTTTTGGAGGCCCTATATCAAAAACAAACTCATAATAAAAACAAATTATTGTGTCATTTTACATTAATAAGAATAACCATGGATAATGTTTAGTGTCACTATCAATCCCTTGCTCGATATTAATATTTAATGTAAATATATGGTTCACATTTTTGATGAGTATAATTATGATGAATTGTTGTTGCAATAATATAACTTTAGCCGCGAAATAAAATGACACACATGACCATTCTCTGATGATTAATTCACATTAACATTTCAGAACAATATTATAAAAATTATAAGCATAACAAATGTTTAATATCATAAACAAAAACATCTAAAAAAAAATTAACCATAAATATATTTTCGGAAATATATGGCTAAAAAAATAAAAAAGGAAAAATTATATTTTCTTAAACTATATCAAATAATAATTATGCATAAATATTTGTATCAAATAAATGTAAGCTGACGAAAATTCCATAGTTAATAAATAAGTAAAGAGGGATAAAAATGATCCACATTAACATAATGATAAAGTTAAATAAATGTATAAATTATACGTTATATTTAAAATGTAATTTAATTTTTTTCATTTTTTATGGCGAATTTTTTCCTATATTTGTAAATCTAGAATCCCTTTATATCTATATGTCCAATATCTATGAACAACCATTGAAGTTGATTCTGACCAAAATATAGCATAAAACACTAATTTTTCCTTAAAATATATATGTATATAT